TTTTTTTTTTTTTTTTTTTTTTTTTTTTTTTTTTTTTTTTTTGTGCTTAGGCTTCAGATTACAGTCTCTTGTCTCTGTTGTCACCCTTTCAACACCCACCCTCCTCTCAGTGTCTTATGCTGCATTCACGTGCTCCTCAGATGGTCCTGTTTCCTTAAGGCGAAGTCGTTCTTCCAGTGTTGATTTGCATGGCTTTACTTGCCTGTTAGAGTTAATGCTTGCAAAATTTTTTAATTAACCGAGTCCCTTATCATGGACAGAAACTAATTGTATCTTTTACTAACGCTGTTGGTAATTACCTTAGTTTTACTAATGGTCACAAACTATCATTAAAGATCAAATAAATAAAAAATTGGAAGTGAGTTTTCCATGTGAATTTGCCCAGTGGCTGGCTCATGTTTTTGATTTTTCTGACAACACGTGAACCATTACAAAACCAGTGCCATTCCTGGCTGTCCCTGCATGTTTGTCTGCCTCACACACACTCTTATCTCTTGCCCTCAGGTTTGTTTGCAAGAACAATGGAGTTCTGTTTGAGAATCAGCTGCTACAGATCGGCATAAAGTCTGAATATCGCCAGAACCTGGGTGAGTCACAACATCTGCAGAATGATAATTGCATCATCTGGAGGTCAGTGTCAGCAGACTTCTGGACTTTTTCTTCAAGTTTATTGTATTTTAACCAGCCTTTACGAGTGACTGTAGTTTCAATGTACACATTTAAACAGTTCTTGCTCATTTTTATCCTGTTGTTTTAGCATTATAAAAACCTGAAAGGGATGTTACGGTGTTAATATTTGACTTGATATTCAAATTGCATGTGGGTTAAAGACAAGATGTCCCATTTTAGTGCCTACATCAAATTAAATTTACAAAAGTTATAGATAGATTCATATTAAATGCAAGTGTCTACTTTAATGTTTAAAATAACTTTTGTGAAAATAAAATGTCAACATGGGCGAAATGTCCCATCATCATTCAGTGTAACAGATATATGTAAAAATGAAACAACATAGTTATTCTGACCTGTAATATATAAAAGAAAGTGATCATGCTAAATTTTATTATATTTTAAATGAAATAGAAATCTTGATGACAAATGGGTAAAACCAAGTGGTTTGAAGGATAGTGGCAAAGATTGATAAAGATTTAAAATTACAATAAATTTTTGGGGGATGCACTGTCATCCTTATTTAATGTCATCTAATGATTCATGCCTGAAAATATTTTTTGGTGTACAAACTATTGTTACACTGAATGACATTTTAGTGTCTTCTGTAAATCATGGAAAAATGTATGATAGTCATTATTTTTTGCTCAGCATAAAATAAACAGGACACATTCTAATGCACAGAGAAAACAAACAAACAAAATGTAATGCTGTATTAAACTTTTGATGCTTAAACCCCTTTTCATCTTTGACCTGTGTATGTGGTCTCTCGTCACAGGGCGGATGTATCTGTTCTATGGCAATAAGACGTCAGTGCAGTTCGTAACCTTCACGACTACAGTCACCTGTCCAGGAGAGCTACAGTCTCATATCCTTCACATCCACACATGAAAACTCATGATCATTCTTGCTTACACACATTGTGATTTTTGTCATGTACATGATCGGAGTACGCTGGTTTGTTGTTTAACTCCTTAACTGATCCCACAGATCAATGTTCAGTCTAAAACAGTGGAGCCTCTCATAGAAGGAGGTGCTCAGGTGCAGCAGGTCATCAACATTGAGTGTCTGACTGACTTCACTGATGCACCACTCCTCAACATCAAGTTCAGGTAACAGATGCATTCATTTAAATGGTTTATGACCATGAGTCAGCATACGCTCTGAGATTTACTCGATTGTTGTGCTGTTTCAGGTATGGCGGAGCTCTCCAGAATCTCACCCTCAAGCTGCCTGTTACCATAAACAAGTTCTTCCAGCCCACAGAGATGGCATCACATGACTTCTTTCAGCGCTGGAAACAGCTCAGCCAGTGAGTGTTTGTGTGTACACAGAAGACAAATTACTGTATACATGCATCACAAACTGTTCTCTGAGTGAGAAACATGTTAAATTCCCTTCTCACAAGGCCTCAGCAAGAAGCACAGAAGATCTTCAAGGCCAACCATGCCATGGACACCGAAGTGCTCAAAGCAAAGGTGGGTCTACACAACTTCATACCGACTTTGTAATGTCATACTAGCCTGCTGCGTACTGCACAGTATATACTGTACACTGGCTACTGTTTCTTTAAAGGTGGGGTAAGCGATTTTTCAAAAACGCTTTAGAA